CGGCTGCTCCCCCTCCTTGGCCCCAGCGCCGCAGAAACCAGCAACGTGTGGTGCTGCCCACGTGACGGAGGGCTCGGCATGGTGCTGAGCATCCCTGGTGGGGTTGGGATGCCGGAGCTCACGCAGCCCAGTACCAGCCAGGGTGACCGCTGCCCGCAAGCTGGAAGCAGGCTCGGAGGAGAAAAGTCAGCCCTGCTCTGTCCTGGGACCCTTCCTACAGCACCCCAATGCCTCTCGCCCCAAACCATCCCACCCGTGGCCAGAGTCAGACCCCTCTAACACCCCCCGCATCCCCGCTGCACCGGGAGCCGCCAGGACAGCACTCACCTGCTCGTGGTACTCAATCCCCATGCTGAGCGTGTTGATGAGGATGGCCACCATGATCCCACGGCCAAAATATTTGCTGTCCACGATCTTCCGGAAGGTCTCGCACACCATGTGCCAGAAGGCCAGCACCCGGCTTGCTCTCCTGGCCCGGGCTCTGCCCCGTTGCGGGTCCCGTTGGTCGCTGTAGTGGGCGTCCTGTGTGAACTCGTAGACCCCCTCGCTGTCCGAGTCAGCCGTCTCGTTGTCCGTCAGCTCGGCCTCGCTCGCCAGCGCCTTGAGGCAGTACGGGCAGCTCTCGGGGCTGCAGGAGCCGCCGTCCAGCTTGGTGCAGGGGCTGGAGATCTTGCAGGAGCTTTGGCAGGGACCTGAAACGCCAGAAGGGCAGGTGCAGGGCAGCCTGTCAGCTGGGACAGGGGGGCTGCGGGTGGCCACGGGAGCAACCCCCAGTTCCCGTTAGCACCAAGCTGTTGCCCTTGGCACAACAGGCATTTCCTAAGGGGAAAAGCGGTCCTGCTGGGTTAAAGAGCCCTAAGCAAAACCTGGGCTACCCAAGCGCCTTCTCCCCAGTTACAAAGCCCTCCTTGCTGTCCCCAGGCAGACAATGGCACCAGCCCAGGACCTCCAACCCGTCTTGTTATACCTCCGGCCATTACAGTTAGGAGAAAGCAATCAGCTCCCCTCGCCCTGGCAGGCTCCGAGCCGTAATTCTCAGGAGTGCTGCCACCAGCAGCCTCCTTTCCTGCTCCTACTGTTTGCTGATGCTCCGAAATCACCAGCTTCCCCCTGCATGCGTTGCCCTCAACAGCAGCTCCCAGCTGCCAGGTGCCTCCTGGGTGACAATACCAGCGGGATATTCCCCAAAAATCTCACCAGCTGGCTGCAAGGGAGAGGCTAACTGCAAGGCACGCTCCTGACTCACGCACAGCAGCACAAATGAAAACCCAGCGCTAAACCAACTCAGAGCCCAGCTCTGCATATTTAGTCTCTGGGCTGGGGGCAGGACTTAGTCTCTTCCCTGCACAGCTCCTGGCTGGAAAGGTCAATGCCATTGTGGTGGGGTGGAAAAAGCACTGACCACCTGGGAAAGCTTGGCCAGAAACGCTTCTTGGAGGTTGTGAGGATTTGGACTAGACTGACCTGAGCTCCCAAACCTCAGGATGTGGAAGGGGAAAGAGCATCTTTCGGTGAAGGTATGAAACCCCTGAGCCAGGAAAGCTGCATTCAGTGCCTGGCTCTGTTATGGGGATCCTGAGCAAATGACAGATTTTTAATACTAGGCGTCCGAGATGGCCATTGAGCACTCGTGCAAAGCAGACACTCAATCTCCCTGAGCCTCGTGCCCCACAGAGAGCAGAGCTGCCCAGGGATGCACTGGGACTCAGATGTGGAAGGTGTCCATCCCCAAGCTCTGCAGCAAGTGGTGGGCAACACAGCCACTTCCAACCCCTGCATTTCAGTAAGGAAAGGACATGGCCATTCGAAAGTGGCCAGGCTGAGCTCCAGCTCTCCTCAGTGCCACTGGGCCTAGTTCTAGCTGATTTGGGGAGTGAAGGGATTTGGGGAGTGTTCCCTGTAATTGCAGAATAAATTGGTTTGCAGGGGAGACACAGGGATGGGAAAGAAAATGGGTTCATTGAAAACATTCATTTCCCTTGGACTCTTGCAAGTATGAAGTCTGGGAGGCTGAAACCTCTCTCCTGGTTTTGGCTATAAGATGCATTAGGTAGGTCAGAAAATGCATGTTGGCCTCACCTGGAAAGCCATCTCCTTTCTCCGTAACATGGACTGAAAAGAACCCTGCAAAGGTTCCGAAAGAGAAAGAAATTAGGTCATAACTTGTGTTTCTGCAGGGCAACCCCAGATCAACATCCAGCCCCAGGCTCACCCGTGCTCTGAGTCTCCAGCAGCTTGTGCATGGTGCTGTACGGCCCAGGTGGGATGTTGAGGCTTGTCAAGGTGCTGCTCCCGGCACCGACCGCCGCCTCCCCCAGGTTCTTCTCTTTCAGCATCTCATGGGAGGTACTGGGGTGCACCGTGGGGTACACCTTGCTGCCCACGATGTTCTTGGGGATCCCCTCTGGGCTTGGCAAGCCGAGGCTCGGCTGCGGGAGGGATGACCGGCAGCGCACCGGCTCGAAGTGGCAGTCAGCATGATAGATGCTGTGGACAGACTCGGTGTTGCTGGGAGCGGCGCTGGGGGCCCCGTGGGGGTTCGGTGCCGAGGTGGGGAGCATCAGCCGATTGGTCCCGTTGTGGAGAGAGCTGGTCTCCACGTCGCTGATCTCCGGGCTGGCACGGGGTGCCCTCAGGTTCCCATTGCCCAGGTGATAGTGGTGGTGGTGGTGGTGATGGTGGTGGATGAGGTGGTGCACTGAGGACCTCTTCCTGCTCCGGCGCTTCCTGGAGTGCCGGTCGGCCCCGGCCTTGCTCGCAGGGCTGGCGAGGAAGCCCATCCTCACGCCCACCACCCGGTAGACCTCCACGAGCTGCTTGCTGCCTTTACGGGCAATGTAAACCAGGTACTTGAGGAGTTCATCATAGCAGCTGCCCGGCTCTGAAAAGCTGGCGAGGGTGCTGGCGTTGGACAGGTAGCGTACCCGCTGCTCCTTCATCAGCTGGCTCTCCCGCTGCTTTGTCTCGGAGAACTGCGTTGCTATCACCACCAGGCAGAGGTTGATCATGAAGAAAGAGCCCACCTAAAGGGACAGGAGCCATCAGCCACCTCGGGGTGGTCATGCCCACCCCATAGCTCTGCCTCACCCCACGCCACGGCGCAAAGAGCCGGGGGCAAACCCCAGGCAGCCCCAGCCCCTGCGTCACCCAGCGGGGACCACCAGCCGGGACCGTGGAGGGGCTGACTCACCCCCCGAGCCCCCGCCCCGGGGACTCCCACACCAGCGCTCCATGGAGAACGTCAGAGATCAAAGACGAGAGAAGATTATTTTGACAAAAACCTTTTGCTCGTTTAAGATGGTGTTTTTCTCTCTCTGCAGACAGCGGTTGTAATTATCACAATTAGTGGCATTACGATGAATGCACTGAGCTTTCCTGATAGGAGCGTTTTTCTGGCAGTGTGTGGGCAGCTTGCGAGCAGATCCCTTTCCCCTGCTAACGGGATTTGCGGGTGACTGTTACGCAAGGGCATCAGCAGTCTGTACCCACAGCTTGGAGATTTTATTTCCAACCAGGGTTTCATGAGGTTCTGCCTTCTGCAGAGCCCAGCCTGGATCACAGAGAATTACTGACGTGCTAACGGGCTATCACACATTGCTAACGTTACTCGCGCGGCATCTGGAAAAGTACTGCTCACTCTTCCCCTCTGTCATTTCAGGGATGCTGAGAGCAAGGGATTGCTTCTTTTTGGGGGAAGCTAATAGATGAACTAGGAAAAACATCATGGACTAAACGACCTCCTACCTTCTCATCAGGGTTTGAGTCCCGGTTTGATGAGGAGCAGAAATCCCCACAATGGCCTAATGGACAATGTGCAGCTATTTTGCTGGACTTAGTCCAATTAGACAGCAAGAAAGGGAGTCATCTCACTTATCTCAGCTACATCTGAGTGAGGTATCTAATGATCCTTTAGAGTCAAGAGAGAAATAGGCATATCAAGCCTGCAATGCATCTAATTTATTTTGGATGTCTACCTTCGGAGGAGATGAATCACCCCCTTAGAGCACCTATTTTTCTCCCTTGACGATAAAGGGAGTCTAGACAACGAGCTCAGCCAGTCACAGTAGAAAATTCTGCTTGCATAGATGAAGTCCATCATGAAGCCCACCCCACAGAAACTCTTTGTTGGCTCCTTTGTGGGTGGTCTCGGATGATGCTGTGAAATGTGGGTGGGCTGTGGGCAGTAATCTCTTCCCTCCTTTCTTAATGTGCTCTCTGAAGTTTGTGACTGTTTTCCTGAAATGTCCCCTCTGCACCAAGGACCCAGCCAGCTATGTTCTTCAATATGGAGGAATTTCTGGGCAGCCTCCTCCCCTTCCAGAGCTCAAAACCTGACCGGGGGAAATTTGCCTACTTTTAAACATAAATATAAGGTGGCAACTAAGACAGAGGACCTTGGAGCACGAGGAGAGAAGTAGTAGAAGCAGCAGCAACAGAAGTTATCTGTCAGCAGAAGCTATCTACCATAGCTTAAGGACACCTTTCCTTCCTTCCTTCAAAGGAAAATGCAAAATGCAGCTGCAACACAATGCTGTATTGAAGCTGTGTGTCTTCTAGCAGGCTGATTTCTACCTCAGCTTTTACATTCACTGTATTATCTGCCCTGTTCCTCTTGGTCACTCCATTCTGCTCTCTCCAAATGCCAAGAGGACCTCCATGTTCCCGTAACTCACAATGATCAGGAGGATGAAGTAGATGAAGTTGTAGAAGGAATGTGCATCCATGACAAAGTACATAATGTCCACCCAGCCTTCCAGCGTGATGACCTGGTGGAGATAGGAAGGGAAAAGGAACCCGTCAAGGCTCAGTTACACTAGCAAGTGCACCAGCAACATTTCTCCTGGCTGGGTTATTTCTGACACCCCATAAGTGGTCTTGGTGCAGTACAAAGCACTGAGGAGCCAAACCGTGCTCCTACCCGTGCCAATAGCCACGTTACCAGCTGAATCCAGCCCTTCTTTTCCAGCTGGACCTAAGGCCCACTGCTGCATTTTGCAGAGGGAAGAGCAGTCTCTAGGCTCTGCTCCGCATTAGGACGGTCTTACTGCGCACACAGAGGGTTGGGAGACTGCATCTCACTACATCCATGCAGGTGAGATAGAGGCATCTTCAAAGCAGGCATCAAATTGTATCCCTGACCTTTTGAGCGCCCATGCACTACTATGTAAGTGCTTGCTGGTGCAAACTAGCCCCTGGGAGTGCGATTACGCAGCCCCTGGGAACATGTCGGGGGGCATGACCGGCTGTTCGCCCACCTTGTGACAGTTTGCAGGAGGGGCTCACCTGAAATATCGCGATCCAGGCGTAGCCAATGTTATCAAAGTTGATGGCTCCCTTGAAGGGGTTGTGCTCCCCGGCAGAGCAGTTGGTGTAATACTGGTTCCAATTGACACAGGATGTGTTGGTGGTGTCATTGTAGGAATAATAATCCAGGGTGCACTCGAGACCTTCTTCCCTCCGTGTTGGGATACTCCGGCAATAGCGCATCCCATTCTCCCGGGGCTGGGAGCAGATGAAAGGGTTCTCATCTTCATTCTCTGTCTGGTAGTATCGCTCCAAATCCACTGTGTAGGGGCTGAAAGAGTGCAGACAGGGCTGGGGTTTGCACACCGGTCACAGGCGATCTGGCAAGGTAACAACTGTAACAGCAAAGTCTGACAGCTGTTGTTCTGGATCTTAAAGTGTTTTTTTCTAAAAGGGATCCCCTTGGACTTTCTGCAGCCCCATTGGATGAGATGTCCCTAACTGGGTTTTGGGAAACTGAGGCAGTGCACTCGGCCACTAAGCAACCCCTCTGATTACACTAGTAAGAGTCACTCCATCTAGAAGTGCTCTGGCTTTGACTTTAGGGGACTGAGAGCAGGATTCAGCCTAGCAGGGCTTCTCTGAAATGTCTTTGCTGCAGCAAGATGGAAATCAGTTGGTTAAAGCTCCTGTATCTCCTGCCCTCCTGAAGATGCTGAGAATTGCTTTGGGAGACTCTATGTAGACCTCCCAAGCTTCCTAAAAACCAGAGACAGGGCCTTCAGCTGCATCTCACAGTGCCTGTTCAGCCCATAGATAAGCTCTAAATTCCCTCTGAGGGTGGCCTCATCATAGCAAACCAGGCAAAAACACTCCTCAGGGAGATGAAACAACCCATGGCCAGCCAGAAACTGACTTCTTGCTCTGCACACAGCTATCTCCTTAATGCTGCCAGAACTCCCACTAAAGATATTTTTAAGCCTAGTTCAGCCCAGTTAATTCCTGCAGAATTGCCTTTAATACCCTTCAAAGCTTATCTAAACCCCTGGAATTCTGGCTCAATTAAACAGCACCCAAACCTGTGGCTCTATTGGATTTACTCAGTGGTGAAGCAGTCCCTCTGCCCTGCTGCCATTTACTTAACAGGGACATGCCCTGGCAACGACTCTCCCAACTGCCCTTTGAGGGCACGACCGGAGGAGGGGTGGCAATTAATTAGGAGATGCACAGGAGAAGATAAAAGGTGCATAATGCCAGCTCCAGACCCGAGAGCCAGCCTAGCCACAGCAGCATCATCATGGTCCTGCTGTGTGCAAGACAGAGGCTTTGGGCTGGCAGGACTTCTCCATCCAGGTGTGGATCCTGCCGGATCAACTCTGGGGAGTCGACATTTGAAAGTGAACCGCTGAAAGGTGACAGTGGTGCTGGAGCTCAGCACAGCAACCTTCAAGGGCACCTGCCCTTCTCCTAGCATTCAAAGGGAGGGAGGTGGCAGAAAAAAAGCAGGTAGGCAGAAGAACAGGTATGGAAATCCTGGTCTGAAAGAGGCTGACAGCCACCAGGTATTTCAACCACTGTTCAAACATTCCTACATCTGGCAAGCTGGCTGGTGCTACAAAACCCCATTTGACCACAATAGAACTCTTGGTCTTAAAATCCAGGGATCTGTGAAAAGTAACACTTTGGGCCAGGGACTACCTCTTGCTCTGAGACTGAAAAGGATCTAGCATCACAAAATTTATGGGAGCTCCATCAGCTTTCCCTGGGGTTTAGGTGGGACTATGAATGCTGTACCAACAAACACTACCAGCTGCTGAATGGCATTCAGACCTCAACGTCTTGACAAATGCAGAAAAGGTCACATGTTAATGATATGCTGAATTTAGAAAGCCTGAACTCTTCTTCTCAGATTTTTTTCTGGAGGATTTATTAACCAGAGAGGTTTCCAAGCGCTCGTTGAGGGTTAAGGACAGCCCTGCAGGACTCAAATGGCGAATTGTCACCACTCGCTCTGCTCCAGCTGTGTGTGCCTGAGCAGGAGTTGTGGTGGCATTTAGGAGCACAGAGCGATAACAGAAGACCAGGGCTTTTTAATGGAGGATAGCCTTGTCTCCTGGAGGGATAGGCTCGCCCAAGCTGAAGAGACCCTTCTGTTGCCCATGCAGACTCACATGCTGAAGTTCTCGGGTAGGAAGCAGCGGTTCCTGAGCAAACCTGCCCACAGCTGGACTCCCACGATGCCAAAGATGAAGAAGACAAAGAAGCAGAGGAGAAGGACGTTCCCCAGCATGGGCAGCGTGTCCAAAAGAAGTGTTACCAGGATGCGCATACCTGAGGCGAAGAGGAAAAGTCCACGCTGAACTTTCGTATTCCAGATATGTCTGACCTTTTCCTTTCCATCCATACTTTTCCTTCCACTGACATCCACTGCCTTTCCAGCCACTGTCCTTGTCACCCACACATGGCTTGAAAACACCCGCAGCTCTCCAGTCCCCTCCGGTTTCCCCTCAAAAGCCCCTGGGATACCTGCTTTCATCCATGCCCTGCTCCTAGGCACACGACCTACCTTCCCTGCTCCTCTCCCTTCACTCTCCACTTCAAGTCCTCTTCTCCTCCTAAAGTTTGCTAGCAATTATATGTCTCCTTTCTTCCCCAAGACCAAACTCTGACCTTCTCCCTTGCTCAGTTGTATTTCTTTCCCCGCTCAGTATATATTAAAATTCCCTTCCCTCCCTAATTCCCCTCATCTACCCCAAATCCCCTCTCTTCCTTAAAATACAGGACTCTCTCTGGCAGTTAATTCTCACAAGTTCAGGAACAGCCAGTTCTGTAACAAAGACAAATTGATGGTGACTTCAACTTGACATTTACACACAAAAAAATTGATTTCATCTGACGTCTCTGTAATATTCTGCTCATCTCTCACTCTCCTTCCCCCATCTTCTGCATTCTCTCACTCGCTTGTATTGATTTTCATTTAAAGAAAGCTTTACTGTTGCACCCTTTACTTTGATACTTCAAGAAGACTTTTTTCTCTCTTCCTGATGCTGTCACCTCCTCTATCAGGGTTTTTCTTCTACTCCTCTACTGGGGAACAACCACCTTGCGTCAACTCCTAATTAACTGAAATGACTTTCTGTGGTTACTGCATTTATCATCATACAAAACTCTCTTTTGTCTTTTCCCACCTTACGTTTCTATCCCATTGTAACTACGTTGCAGAGAAGCCAAGATAAATTACCCGGGATTTCAAAATACATTAAGTGAATTACATCCCCAGTTAGACAGTGGTGGATAAATTCAGCCATCCATCAGTTCAGCAGCGGGGATAAAAAAAACACCATTGCAAACAGGATTCTGAAGCTACCGTAATGACTGAAACAGCAGCAGCAGAAGCAAAGCCAGATTAAGTTCAAGAGTCAGGACCAGACAAATAAATACAGCCCAGGCACCTCCAGCATCAGCAGACAGAACTGAAGCTGATTAGCTCTCATCAACGCATTGGGCTTGTTCAGATAGGGGAGTTTGGACTTGAATTTAATTTGGCTAAAGCAATGCTTGATTTGATACCCAGGATTGTAGGACCAGGAAAACAACGTTTCTGATGCACTTGTGCTTACGCTTAACGCACCCAACCCATACAGCATCCGAGAGGGACGGAGCTCAGCGCCTCTTGCAGCACTCTGGGCTGGCTGGAACGGCTCCCTGGGCAGTTTGGTTGGGTTTGCGATGGCCAACACTTCTCCGAGCACAGCGCTGGGTTGCCGTTGCCTGGTGCCGCGCAGGAGCAGGCAATGCCACCCACTGCTCTTCCAGGGGGTCTGAGATCCTCATGCGTTACCTGACAAACCAGGACTGAATAGCCACCTCCCATCCCACCCAGGCTTGCTTTGGAGATGTTGGGGTTTCGGGCTGTATGGACCAGGTCTGGGAGCAGAGCAAGAGATGCTCCAAGAGGAGGCTCCTCAGCACCTCTCGGGAGGGCTGTCTCCAGGCTCAACAAGATTTCCTCACCCGTTTCTCCAGGAAAGGATGGAGCAACACAAGGAAGGTGGGAGCAGCATGGCTCAGACCCCTCTGCCTGTGCTGCCTGGAAAAGGCTGTTGGCTCAGTCAATCCCTGTCACCTGCAGCCCTTCACCTCAGCAGCCTCCTAGGACCCCCTTCAGATGAGAAAGGTGTCTGAATACAGTCCTGGATGTCTTACTGACTGGTGTCTCATCTCTGATGCCACAGGTCTCCAAAGGAACATTATTTAAAGTAGGAGAGTGACAGGCACTGGAAAGCAGAGAGTGGTGGTAGGATCTAGCACTACCACGCTTGGGTGAATATTTGAGCTGCAATGTAAGATGGGAAGCATCTGTGTTCACTCTTCCACCTTCAGGGCATAGATACAGAGAACTTGCAACAACTGGGAGGAATAAGGATCTGACTTACTGGGGACCCTGTTAATGGCCCTGAGCGGCCGCAGGACACGGACAGTGCGGACCGCTGAGAAGCTGACGTTCTGCAGGTCCAGGGAATACTCCAGCATCCTGCAAAAGACACGAACACAGAGGAGTGTCAAGGATCTTCTGGAGAAATACTGGATTATCAAACATTATAAATCAAACATTATATGCCAACTGCTCACAGAGGGACTTGTTACTGCATCTCTCCCATCAGGTAAGTTTGCCAGAGGAATTAATTAAGGATTGTTTGTGTAACAGAATAAAGTCAATGAGCAAGAATGTGATAAACCAGCTCTCACAGCCACAGATCTTCTCTTGCTCTCATCTGCTTTGGTTACTGTTTTTGCAGGGGTCCAGGGCAGAAGCTTCTGAAAGTCCCCACACGTTCCAGGGGGGCAATTTCCAGACAAGCCCTGTTCTTAACAGCCATTGTACAGACACCCTAATGAGTCTGGGTTCGCTGTGCTGAGCACCACCACAGCCCTGAAAAGAGGAGAGGAGCATCCCCCGGTGCAGAGCCTTTCCACGGAGCACAGGAGGTGTGCAGCATGGGACACTGAGCTATGCTACCTCTACCCAGCAAAGTCCATTGGCAGGTGGGACTCAGGCGGATGAGCAAGTGCACAAATCAAAACTGATGACACTTGTAGAAAACAAACGGGGCAAATGTGGAGCAAGGAACCTCCTGGTGCTCCTACATTGTCTGTGCCTGATGGGGTTATTTCACAGCTCAGGACACTGAGGTGCAACCTTCACATGACTTAGTCTGAGGATGCACTTGGACTGCTGCAAGTCCCTGGGTCCCCCAGCTCTGTCTTGCTCTGCTCATGGCACCGTTGCTCAAGCACAGCGGGACCATCAGTCACGTCACCACCAGGACTTTTCCCTCCAGCCATGGGAAAACACAAGAGTTCTGCCCAAAAGCATTCGTGAAGAGGCAGAGCCAGGCAAAAGCAAGGAAGAGGACGGCAAGGCTTCCCGCACAGCCGGGCTCCTGGTGCCACAGGCAACCACAGGATAGTAATCTCTTCCAAAAATTACCAAGTTCCATCTCAAAGCTAGTTGGGTGGTTCCCTCCCTCCAACTTTCATGGTTAGAAGCCTAACTTCCAGCCTGAATTTATTCAGGACAAGCTCATATCCATTTGTTCTTACAGCAGCACTGTCTTTTAAGTAGCTTCTGCAGCTGTTCTTTGTCCCTGGTGTTTACCCACACGACATATTTACAGAGGACAGATCACATCTCCCCTCAGCCTTGATTTTGCAAAGCCAAACAAACCAAGCTCTTCCAGACGCATCTTGCAGACAGGCTCTCTGCTTCCCAGTCACATCCCTTCTCCACACCTGCCCTAGCCTGAATTAATCTTACCTGATTAGACATCAAGCTTCTGGAGGAGGCTTTGCTGGCACCTTGCACAAAGACAGCAGTGCTGCCCCCTCCCCTCCCTGCTGGAAATCCCACAGGATTCATCAGTGCCATGTTACCTTTGCCACGGCTGCAGCACGCTGGAGGGTTCGGCTCTCGCCATGATCAGCCAAACCCACTCTCCTCCCTCCTGGCCGTCGGCAGGTGAGGGGCACACAGGGTGGCAAAAACTTTCTCTTTCTAGCCCCCAGATACATGACTCTGCACCTGATACAGCAACACGTTATCTGATTTTGCTTGATAGGCTCTAATGAGGATGATGACGATGATGATCAAACCATATCTAAGATCAAAATAACCTCAACATATTCCTCTGTATTTAGCTGACACCCACACCCATGAAACAGTCCCAGAAGATGAATGTTGGACAGGCACACGTGGATGCCAAGAGTTTGTTCTCATCCTCTGAGCAGACAGGAAGGCAGCCTGACCACAAAAGCCCACCTGGTCCCAGCGACAAAACCAGCCCCTTCCTTGGTGCACGGGACCCACCACATTGGTTGAGCTGTGGCTAAGGTAAGGAGAGGGGCAACAACTTCCCTGGGCTTCTTGGGTTTCACTCACTGTTTGAAAAGAAGATTTGTGTATGGTTTGCAGAATTCAGGTAAAAAGCCAATGTCAAACATACAGCTTTTCTTCCGTCCATTATTAAAACAGAGGCTACCAGCAAAATTCAGAGCAGCATATGGTTATTTGCAGCAAGACAAATCATTTTCTGATTGATGACAGCTCTAGACTCGCTTCCAGAGATGCTTGTGCTTGTCAGCTGCAAAGGGCATGCTGTAAAATGCATTTTGATTTAACATATTAAAGAACAATTATAATGCCAAATTTAAAAAAAACCAAACAAACAACCAAACAACAACCCAGTAGCTTGGGCAAACACTTGAACACCAAGACCAAGAGCAAGCAGGTGCTCTCCTATCTCTGCTGTCAGACACTGCTACCAGCACCAGCTTTACAGCACCACAAGCTCAGCCCCAGACCTACACTACAGGATCCACACATTGCTGGTAACTAACAGCTCAAGAGCCTTGAGAGAACTCAGTACTGGAGAAAAAAAAACATGGGCAAAAGTCAGTCACTAAAGAGCAAGTCCAACGAGAATCCCACCACTTCCCAGCTCTAAGGTCACTTCCCAAGGCAAGGGGACGCACGGGAGGAACCAATCCAGGTCCCTGCCAAGGGAAGATACCCAGGGAGAGTGAACGTCAGGATGTCACCAACTGGTGAGGTGACAGGTGCATTTACCAGCATGTATAACATTGACACATGGAAAATCTGCGGTGCAAAAAGCCCCCGACGAAGCTTCAACTCAAATGTCATTTCTGTTCAACTGGGAAAGCACGATGCCTGTCAGCGCCTCTGCCACGGACCCGGGTGCCCACCCAAGTTAAAGGCTCAGAAATATACTCAGCATTAAATAGGATGGATTCACAGCAAATGCTGAGACTCATCAGAGCGATCAGCAACCCCCGACTGCTGAGCTATTCAGAAGGAAAGCGGAAATATTTAGGACTTTCTAAGAATAAAAGCGGAGCATCTGCAAAGCCAGACGTACAACGGGCTGGTGGTGGGATGCAGAGAGAGCTGGTGCAAACCTTTGGCAAACACTCCTCCGAGAAGGAAAACGGCCTGGACTCAGCAGACAGACGCAAGGGATGGCTCAGGATGGACCAGGCAGCTGAAATTCATTCCTGTTCTGCCCGGAGATAGCAAGACTTGGAGCACGCTGGGTTTTCTTTCATATAAAACCCAAAGCGTTGGGAAGGATCTTCTAAGTGCAGTGTCAGGCAGCACCCCTGCCTGTGGTGAAGCGCTCGCAGAAGCAGGATGCTCAGGAGCATCACAGGAGGGGTTGAAGGGGCTCTTCTCACCCAGCGAGCCTCTAACAGAGCACAGACATGCCAGCAAAGCCCTCCCCACACCTACCCAGCATCACCTCTCCGACCCACCCTGCTCTCAGCCCTGGCTTCGCTCCCACCCCTGGGATCACTCCTGCTCAGGAAGCAGAAGATGGTGTGAAGACCCATCAGAGCCTGTGCTGAGGGTGCTTTCCGAGGAAAACTGGAACTTCCCCCTTTCACAGCTGGGTGCTGGGGATGCTGTACAGCCAAGGGATGTGACCAAGGTCACACAAGGAACCCATAGCAAATCAGCAGTGCCTGCAGGCAGGGCAGCATCCCCAGGAGCTGCCCGCCCCTCTGCCCACAGAGGCACAGAGCCGCCGCTCGCTGCCAGCAAGAGATAGGCTCAGATTTATTCAGCATTTAAAGCTTTCCAAAACTGGGCATATAGGCACCCTTTATCTACAAAGCGCAGTAATCAGTGGATGATATTAAGCCATCGGTGTTGGAAAAGACAAGGGGAAATTATTTAGGCAGCTTTGTATCTTCAGAAAGCTGGAATGAAATTTCCTCCCGGCCGTCGCTGGCTTTGCTGTGCTCCGCTGTTGCTCAGGAGCTGCTTTTTAAGCCTCGCGAGTCTCACCGCGTTCGTGGGTGTTGCTTAATTTTAAAAATACTCATTTTAATCAAGCCGAACGGAATAAAAAGAATAGCACTGGAGGGAGCGTGAACCCTGCAGCCTCCTGGATCCATCCACGCTGTGCGTCCCAGCTAGGACACTTGCCTAATGAGACTTTTGAAGCAGCAGCAAGTTCCGCTGAAGAACTGAAAGAAACTAAAGAACTGTCTTTTTAAAAAGTCCTAAAACTTAAAAAAAAACCCAAGTCTTTTCACAGGTGGGTTTGAGTCAGCTTGGCTGTGAGGGAGGCTGCCGAGGGATTTCTTTTAGCCAGCAGGATTCTGCAAGTCAGGGACGTGGCTTGCTCGGGATGCTCTGCTTTGAAGGCTGCGGTAAGGTGGCACAGAGCAGAGAGCATCTGCAGCTGGGAGGGGCTTTGCCAGCCCCGGGTCTCAGCTGATCTTCATCCTCCCAAAGGTCACTTAAAGCATCAAATTGCAAAGCTTGACCCCAGATTTTGAACCCCCCGGAGGTTTGCAATCACGAGTATCAGCTTGATGCAGTTCTGCTCGGAGCAAAGAGCACCTAATTCAGGATTAGCCAGGATGCAGCGGCTCCCCGGGAGGAGGCTCCCGGCTTCCAGGACACTCTCATCCATCCTGGAAAGCATCGAAGAGAGGGGCAGGCTCCTGGGAGGGGGTTTGGTGCGGCTTTCACCGCAGCTCAAAGGGGCTGCAGCTGTGATTGCACATCGGGTAATTGCGTGTACAAATCGGGCACTTACACGGGCAATTACCCCACGGTGCCTCGGCAGCGCAGAGGGCGCCGCACAGCCACGTCTCCAAGGTGCTGTTCCTTGGGGCGAAAGGGATCGATACAGGCAGAGAGAGGGGACGAAAAAACAACATTCATCTCTGCCTCGCTGTTATTTTCTTTCTTCTTTTTTTTTTTTTAAGGGATGAAGGGACCAATACATGGGGAAAGCACAGCCTCTGCCTGCAGTCGCAGCGGGAGGCTGCAGCAGGGACTCCCGTGGGCAGCCCCACACCAGCACTTTCTTCCCCACGTCTGAACCAGGGAGCTGAAACAGTCCCTTAATCAGCCTCGTGCAGCTACACTGCCCTTCAGAAGAGCCCTGCCTGCTCATGAAGCAAAGCAGCGCGGTGAGGTGAAGGCCACGTGCTGGAAGCTTCACCCAAAGTACCCAGCAGGAACCTTGCTCTGGCTGCTGCAGCCACAGAATCGCCCCTCGCCACAGAGGCCACTCTGGTAGCATCACTCTTACCCCAATTTCTGAGCTAAAGAGCTTTTCAGAACCCATCCAGGTTTAGATGGAGCAGGGGACTGCAGCATCCCTTTCTCTCCTGTTACCTACGAAGACAGCAAAGCTTCCTGCAGCGTATTTCATCCTGAAATTCAGTGCTCAAAACCAGGAGGGAGCAAGATATCCTTAAGTATTGTTTATGAAGGCTTCAGCAGAGCTAACTCTTAAATACAGCCTTCAACAAGGGAGAAAAAATGATAACAAACAGTAGAAGTGTTCAGGAAGCAAAGAAAAAAAAGAAATGGTGTCTCTGTTTCTCAAGAAACCAGCCTGCCAACCACCTCCAGCCCCATCTCGTCTCAAATTGTAAGCAAAATATTCCAGAAGTGCTTAACTTTCTTACAAAGTCTTTTAAGAGGCTTGTTACCATTACAATGAGCAAAGCACAAACAGGACTCTGCAGACTTGGCCAAACAACTGACTGAGCCTGGAGTAACAACAGACCTGCACAACTCAAACACGGGATGATGCACAGCCCTGCTCGGAGGGGAGCAGAAACGCAGGCGCGGATCCAGAGCCCTGCACGACCCTGTGTCTAGAGAAGGCAGAGAGGAACCCTGTAAGGTCTTACAGCACCAAATGATCTGCTGATTTAAAGCCTTTCTCCTGGGAAAACAATCAAACATCGGGGGGTTATGTTGGTTTGGTTGGGGTTTTTTTGGATGAGGATTGTTTAAAGCACAATTCAATCCACAGGGATGCAGAGGCTCAGGTAAGTCCTTATCCGACCAAAGTCAAAACAAACTGATGTCCTGCAAGCTGGTGGGATTGCAGCAAAGCGGCTGGGGATAGGGATGGCTCCAGCTGAGGAGCGGGTAGATCTCAATCTGTGGTTACCCTCTTTCCACAGACTGATGGGAGAAGAGGTCCCTGCGCCCTGCCTGGCGGAGGGGGAAGCAAAGCGGGTGCTGGGTCCCGGAGGAGCCAGGGAGACAACAAGTCAGGGCTCATCCCCAACCCACAGCTCTGGTTCACCAGCCCAAGCTTTGGTCAGCACTAGACTGTAAACGCTTCTGCATATTTTTGGATGTAAACAAGTGCTCATCCTCAATACATCTGCGTCTTGCCCTGGGAGAGGTTGAAATCATATTGAATGGTCTTTAGAGGGCGAGAGCTGGCTTGCAACGCCTGTTAACCTTCAAACGTTCTCTTAAAAGCCAACTCCCCAAATCCTCTCCTTTAAAATAACACAACTTAATTATGCCATTCATCTTTTTTCTTCTTCCCTTTTCCCCATGCAACTCCGTAACCTACAGCCAAAGCCGTGTTTCACTAAGCTGAGTTCTGATAATACAGTGCTATTCTCATCTCCAGCAAGTTTTACTGTAATTACAGAGATGTGTTGCAGACATTACACACTCTACAATTAGCACTAATTGCATTACATTGTCACAAAGAAGTCATTTACTCTCCATGAGCTCATGAGATTGGTCTGGACAGTTTAACAGAGCTGAGAAGTACTTAATGGCATGCCACGGAAGTGGCCGGCAGCGCGGCAGGAGCAAGCACAGCACCCGAGCGGCTCCCCTAGCCCTCTACAAGCGGCAGATTTGGGGCAAACACGCACAAAAAGGTTTCTCTGCAACATCAACTTCTGTCGGGTTCAGAAATTTCACAAGGAACAGGAAGGATGGAATATTACAAGTTTTGGGGTTGGTTTTTTTTTTTTTTTGGAAGCCTCTCCTAGACTGGTGGTGGTTGGGAAGGGTTTCTATGGGTGGCATGCCCGTGGGAGCGTACAGCCCTGGCGCAGCACATCCCACGTGCCCCCTGACATTACATGCCTTCCCCACCCGATGCCCCGCAGACACGGTTTGCTGCTTCTCCTCTCCCCCTGCCGTCACTTTCTGCAGCCCATGGGCAACGAAGCAGCAGGGAAAGCAGGAGAGCAGAAGCAACCAGGGGAACCGCCAGGCACTGGGGAGCCCACACTGTCCTGCTGCTTCCCTCCTCCCATGTCTTGCACAAAAAGCAGAGGAAAAAAGGGGGAGGGCAGGAGCAGAGCTGCTTCGTTGTGGTTGCCAGGGTCACGTGGAAATAGCAGTTTGGGGGTCTCTTCTCCTGTCATTTCACTGGGGAACGCAGCTAAAACCTTTTTGTGAGGTCTACATAAAAATGTGACACACTTTATCGGGTATCTAGCAGGGGATTTCAGTGGGGATTTGAGAATTGCCCTGGCGCATGCTGTCTTCCAGGCCCACAGCTCAGCTCTGGCCCCTTTCCCCACACCGCACACCCGCTCAGATGCAAGACATCTTCACACTGAGCTCAGCTCATCCCTTACTCCTGCGCTCTGCTGTTAGCACCATGGTCTGGATGCTCGTCGGGGTAATTTGCCCTCTGTGGGAACCGCAGTGCTGCACTCAGGGGCTATCAGTGAAATGTGCCTCCATCAGGTTGGGATTAGACCCTGGAGTGCTTTTTCTCTTATCCTTACAGTGTTCTTTATCCACATCTTGAGTCTGGTAAGAGACTTGGGTCCCTCATTTTTATCTCTGCTATAGCAATGGCTTGTTCCTGCAGCCCCTTCAGCTTTTCCTTCCACTCGGTGCTGCTGGGGATGGCTGAAGGACACGCCAGGATGGCAGCGATGCTCTGAGCAGGATGCAGCGCTCCAGGATGGATGGGCGAGGGCTGGAGGAGAGTGCAAGGGCACAAAAGGGAGCAGAGAAAGCAAGCACTGGGGGAGAGGCTCCGCTTTGTATTTAAATCCAGTTCGATCCTTTGTCAGCTGAATTGGTTTTGACAGAACCCAGATGGGAACAGTTCATGCACGTGCAGGAAAGACCCATCACTTAGCAAGAGGCAAAGCCAACCTGGCAGGAGTCATGGGAGCGGTCAAGCTGCAAGGCTGCAAAAACCCTGCAACAAACAAATGCTTCTGCGCATCAGGGATGTGGGAAAGCGGCTGTACAGAGGGAAGGTCAGTGCTGCTACCCGTGCTCTGCCCGGGAAGGAGGTGACTCCCATACACCCAAAAGCCCGTCCAGGTGGAGTAGTCAGGCAGGAGATTTGACGTTTGCTTAAGCAAAGTGCAGCTATATTTTGGTATAAGAATTAAGATGGTTTTTGCTGATGTCCCTCTAGGCCAAGGTCACATCGTGGTGGGGTCTCCACAGAAGCACATCGAGGATAACTCGAGCTACAAAGACTTTGCAAGCTCAACAGGCAAGGCCAGGGCCAGGCTGGGAGGGGAATGCGGCAGCACCCCGGGGTGGCAGAGCTGGAAGCAGCCCAGCACCCACCACCATGCCTCTTTGAGCCTCCCCAGGTGAGATGCCCGGCCTGGCTGGCATCTGGTTGTTTATCACACTTAATTCTAGTATAAGAAATAATAAAGAAGAAGAAAGAAAGAATACACACGGTGGCTTTAGCAGGCTCCAGCCCTTGGCCGTGCTGCTGGTGTTTACAACCCTATCAGAGCTGATCGGACCTGGGGTCCCACCTTGTCTAACATCCCGTCGCTGCAATCCCCAGTGTTGCTCAGACACTTTGAGCCCTCTTTTAACCCCAGGAGCCAGAGGCTTGTGCAACTGGAAAGCACAAGCCTATGGCCTCCGGCAGAAGATGGGTTTACAGGGATGGTTACAGCTCTTGGCCTTTCTGCCCTCCACCTCTGCCTCCAGTCTGAGTCCTGCGCCTCACTGCACCTTTTGGCCTTTGCAGCATCCCATGGCAATGAGCTTCCCCGGCCAAGGATGCACTGGGACACCTGGCATCTCCTTACTGGTTTTACCAAGCCACTGTTTTGGTTCTCACAGCTGTCCGGCATATGTGTGTGCCACAACCCTATAGGGCTGGTGACGGACCATAAGCAAAGCCCACCAAGGCGTTGACCCTTCTTGGGGCACACCAAATCCATGCCAGGTAAAGAGCCCAGCTGGGAGGGTCCCCTGCTCCTTTCCAGGAAAATCCAGTAAATTTGATCTCTACCAAAAGAGGAAAAAACCACTGTTTTCCCAAAGGTCTTTGGGCTCTTGGAGCAGGGAGGGGAGGCGAGGCCGGTGAGCGATTCATGTGTCAAAGAAATTCAGCTCACTGGCCAGGGGCCAGGGACTTTTCATGTGGATTTCCAGCCTCCGCCAGGAGACTCTCGGGTGCTGGAAGAGCCTTTAATTCAAACCAGGTGCCTCTGAAAGGAAAACACTCAAAAAGGCAAACTTGGTCGCTTTCCCTCAAAAAAAAAAAAAAAAAAAAAATAGAAGGTATCCTCAGGGCAATCATGCACATTTCAGTGAACTACCCTGCCTGGCACACCGCTGCGTGCTCCCAACTGCCTGCTTGGCTGCCATCTCACCTGATGGAAACCGAAACCACCGGTGGGGCTGGAGGGAGAAGAGCCGAGCCCAGCGCCTGGTGAGGAGCCCCGGAGCACAGGCTGGCCAAAATCCACCACAAACAGCTTTTGTTGCCCTGCCCTGCTCTCTTCCACAAGCTATGGAGAAGACCGGACGGACTGCTGCGGTCCAGGCAGTGATGCCCGCTGCAGAGCCAGGATGGACAATGCCAATGGCACTGGGGCCCAGCAAGCCCCCAGCCTTCACCAATGCAAACCAGCTGCTCCCCTAAATCCAACGCTGACCAAGGGATGCCATCAATAAAACAACGGAGAAGCACTAGGAGAGGGGGACCCGCCACGCTGGGCTTACCCTGCGATGACAATGAAGAAGTCCAGGCGGTTCCATGTGTCTCCCAAGTAGCATTTCTTCCCAAAAATGCCCAGCGCAATCATCTTGACGATCATTTCCACAGCAAAGAAGGCAAAGATGAAATCGTCAAAGCTCTGCAAAAGAAAGGAAGGGAGGAGGGATGCTCCTGCATTACCACACGCTTGCACTGGGGGAGGAAATTAGAGACATGAATCCAACAAGGTCTCCTCTCACACCACCAAGAGCTAAAATCCCTGGGCACTGAGAGCAGCCCTGTGTCTTCCCCCAACCCAGACTGGCCAACAGCACCCACAGTGCTAGGATAAAGGGACAAGTATATTTTGGGCTCTGCTTTCACTATAAACTAGATGGTTAACCCTCCCCAAGCACTCCAAGCAAGGCTTGGCTACACTGAGGCTGGCACAGCCTGGCAGGGGCTTTGCCTGATGACACCATTCGCACACATCTGAGCACCAAAATCAGCATTTTTTAAGTGCTGGTGTGACAGCCAGGGCAGGCAGGACCCAGCCACCCCAGGGCACGAGGCCACCTCCACTCTGGCTGGAGCCAGCTCTGCCACAGCTTGGTCCTTCCCGCTCCCCATCAACCCGGGGCCGCCGTTAAGCTAAAAGCAGGGGCCGGGCCATACCTGGAGGATCCTGCAGCGTGGCGAGTCGCAGGCGATGTCCTCGCAGGGGTGGAACATGCCCAGTGTCACGCAGTTGAGCAGGATCACCAGCATGCTCACCCTCTCGAACCACCTGCACGGCACCCCGTCAAGGAAGCCACGGACCCAGAGGAGCATCCGCAAGCAGTCACCGCTGAATCAGAAAGGTTATTCTGGTCTTTAAGGCAAGGCACGTGCCAGCTTCTCTGGGTTAGACCTTATCTGGTTTTGCATGGACAGCCTGCCTGCTGTTTAGATACCTGCACAGTAAACCGACAGCGTGCTCTCCCCACGCTGACATCAGTGGCTACAGCTAATGTGAAAACTGCCATAAAATGAAGTTGCATAGCGAGAGTGCTGATGTGATGGATTAAAAAAGTCAAATTAAAGGAATGATATAAACTTTTAGGGGAAAAAAAAAAAAAAAAACCACGCCATTAATTTATTCTCCTGGCATTTTACAGAAAAGCACTTTAACATTACAATTTTCTATTAACCATGTCATGGCTTATCCCAGGGGCGTTTTCCTGAAGTCACTGCTTGAGCTTTTCATTCCCAGTCCAAATTAAGACTGTCAAAACCATTAACCGACTGCCTAAAAGCCTTTAAGACTGTGAGGGCCAGCAGAGCCCATCCCCTACCCTGACTGCTGTCTCTTGGAGCAATTTTTAAGAGCTTTGCTGCCAGGACAGACTTCAGAGGCTGGTACTTTTGGGGCAGAATAAAGTGTGCTGCTGCAGCAAAGCCTCATAGAGACAGTTCAAACCTGGTACCAAATTTTTTGCATTCTTCTGGGTGGCATTTCCAGCCAGCTCCTGACTGCCAGGAGCATAGAGGTGCAATATCCAGGAGCCGGTGCAACGCAGCGCTGGGGTTGTCTTCCAGCCTAACATGGAAAACAGCCCATCGGCTGCCACAACCCGCAGCCAGC